TGCGCAAAACTCCGCATTTGAACAGTCAATAGCAAATACTTAAACTAGTAACAGAACATACTTACAGTCGCTGATTCAGAAGCGCCAGATTGTCATAGCAAAGTCGGAATTGACCCTTTTTTTTTTTTTTGTAATAGCCTTTGTGCACAGCCAGCCTTGTACTCTTCTAGGTTCAAAAAACCGTCGTCCATAAAATGCGTTGCACAAATTCGAACATCTGGGTTGTGCTGCTCTGTTGTAAATAAATCTTAACCAATGATTCCTAATTGCATCTACTTCCGGAAGGCCAAATAAAGTGCTTTTGCTTTCGCACTGAAATACACAGCGTCTCCCTGACATGGCTGCATCAGCACTACTGCTGTTCCTGAAACCACGCCTTCTTTCTTTCAAGTCGAGTCTGAGGAGGAGAGGGCGGGAGAAACTATGCTAATATTTTGCATTTGGACTGCAGTACCCATTTCAACCACTATCTGTCAATATCACATACTGCACCTTTAAACGTTCAAGATCTTTAAAGGGTTAGTTCACCCAAAAATGAAAATTATCCCGTGATTTACTTACCCTCAAGGCATCCTAGGTGTATATGACTTTCTTCTTTCAGACGAATCCAATCAGAGTTATATTAAAAATGATCCTGGCTCTTCCAAGCTTTAGAATGGACATGGGTGGGTGTTTTTTTTTTTCAACAGTCCAAAAAAAGTCAAATAAAGCACATCCATCTATAATAAAACGTGCCTCACACGGCTCCGGGGGGTGAATAAAGGCCTCCTGTAGTGAATCGATGCGTTTTTGTGAAAACAATATCCATATTTAAAATGTTATAAACACTTTTCTCTCACTTCCACCAACTGTCGTACGCGGATGACGTAGGACGTAGGCACAGCGCACGTGTCTGTGATTAGTGACGAACACAGAAGTGCGGAAGAGGCACGTTTTATTATGGATGGATGCACTTTATACACCCGCCCAGTGGCATTATAAAGCTTGGAAGAGCAAGGACAATTTTTAATATAACTCTGACTGGATTCGTCTGAAAGAAGAAAGTCATATACA